TACGTACGCAGGACGAGTTGGATGGGGATTACATTTGAGAGGGGCGTCGTGACAGGTATGAGCATGCAGGTGTTTGTGGATGCCGACTATGCAAGCAAGGCGGCAGACCGGAGGTCCGTGTCTGGGGGGCTAGTGATGTGTGAGGGTGTGTGTGTGACATGGTTTTCACGAACGCAGAAGTGCGTTACGCTTTCCACCACGGAAGCAGAGTATGTGGCAATTGCCGACGTCTTGAAGGAAGTGTTGTTCTTAAGGCAGGTGTGGCGTTTTATGTTGCCAGATGCGGGTATGCCGTGCATCCCGGTGTTCGAGGATAATCAGGGAGCGATTCAGATTGCGCACAACCCGATCACGAACTCCAACTCGAAGCGCATCGATGTACGGCATCGCTTAATCAGGGAGCTGGTAGAGAGAAAAGAGATTTCAATGACTCATGTGCCGACGCAATTTTGGCATGCAGATTTCTTGACAAAGGCTATTAATTAGCAAAGAGTCTTTTGCGTTGCACCGTGACGTTGTGATGAGCTTGCAGTGAAGGACGTGTTTGGGGTCGATTCGTATTCTGTAGCGGAGAGAGAAAGAGAGAGACGAGATTGGACAAGAGAAAGAGAGAGTCTGATGGTACGCGTGTTGGAAAGATTTTTCTTGGTTGTTTTGGAGGAGTTTTAGATGTGTTGGAATTTTTCTTGTTTGTTTTGGAGGAGTTTTGGTTGTGTTGGAATTTTTCTTGTGATTGACTTGGGAGTGCTATTGCATGTTTTGGGGAGGATATTGGATTTGAATGCTTTAAGAATATTCTTGTTGGTTTTGGGAAAGATGGTGAAAGAGGAATTTGGTTTTTGCCGAAGCATGACGATGCATACGAGCAGGGGGGCTATTAGCTATATTGGGGGTACTCGTAGCATAGTATGACGGGTAAGATCTTCAGTACGTACGTACTGAAATTGCAGTGATGAGATGCGGAGGAATCAGAGATATCCGTTTGGTAGTTTGAGCGTGATGAGCGAGACGCGTGCTTGATGCCGTGACAGATGCACGAGCACGAGCAAGCCCCCGAAGAATACAATACGTTTTCCTATACGTCCCTCCCCTACCACCGCCCGTCATGGTCCAGCTGCTCTACACACCCAACACACAGAACTGAGCCACCCGAATTNGTTTGAGCGTGATGAGCGAGACGCGTGCTTGATGCCGTGATAGATTTACGAGCACGAGCACGCCCCCGAAGGATACAATACGTTTTCCTATACGTCCCTCCCCTACCACGGCCCGTCATGGTCCAGCTGCTCTACACTCCCAACACACAGAACCGAGCCACCCGAATAATCGATCACAGTGCCTTCCTCATTGATGGTGGATTACATAGCTTACCCCACCAGCTGTATGCGTCATACAAGACTGCAGGGTTAGGGTTAGGGTTAGGGTTAGGGTTACTTGGACCTCCCGGCCTCAATACTGACATTAAAGGATCCAATTATACATCCTATGAAAGCCCGAGTTACGGGCTTCAATCCGCTGTCGACTGAGTTAGCCAAGTTAGCCGTTCGAGAGTTATGGCTCTTTTGCGGTTCTGACCCCCAAATGTCAGCCGAATCCAAAAGTTAGCCGATTTCCTGAAAGAAGTTTTCCCGAAAGTGCTCTGTTATTTCCGAAACGCCCCACTCATTGAAAATTTCGGCTGAACGAACCTGCCGCCCCAAATGTNTTAGCCGTTCGCGAGTTATGGCTCTTTTGCGGTTCTGACCCCCAAATGTCAGCCGAATCCAAAAGTTAGCCGATTTCCTGAAAGAAGTTTTCCGAAAGTGCTCTGTTATTTCCGAAGCGCCTCACTCAGTGAAAATTTCGGCTGAACGGACGTGCCGCCCCATATGATAGACTTCCAAGTTCTAAGACCTGGAGGTGTCACATCACAAAATGATCTGGTCACACGGTAACCTGTCATGGCTTAGGGTTATCTAGGGGTCATCCCACATTCCCAGGGCTCGCCGGGGGTGCCCAGGGGGTCTTCCTGGGGTTCAACATTTCATCCAGAGATCGAAACGTAGAGTCGCTGTCGTTGGCACGCGTGTTGGAACCCTTGCTGACAAGGCATAATATCGTCAATTTGCACTCACATCACTGACTGGTCCACGCGGCATTTGCATCATCTGTACTGCCCGGGGATTTGGACTTGTCTAGCGAAGACAGGCCTTTGCAGCAACAATATCGCAAAGTGTTTTGGGGGTGAACCAGAGCCTGCTTAAAGCAGACAAGTAGGGGCAGGAAATGTATCTCGATCTTGATTTCGCAACCCTAGACCGTTGCCCCTCACCACAGCAGCAGCAGTCCCGACGTTCAATATTTGCATTGCGTTCCAGGTTCGAGGTCGCTGATTCGCTTCGTTTGGTCTCGAGTGTGTCCAAGGGTGGTGGTGGTCCTACTACCTGCTACCAGCAGGGAGGATGAAGAAAATAGCAAGTGCAACATATTCCCGCAAGAGAATACTGTTTGGGGTGCTCGGCAGAGTATACTGGCTACGGGGCCTCCGGGGGGTACGCGGATAGAATGTATTGACGGACATGCTGCATGATAGTGTGGCCTACCGCATGTCTCTCACTCTCTAAGCAACTAGGTCTTGAGTNTGCATGGCGATGGTGTGGCCTACCGCATGTCTCTTACTCTCTAAGCAACAAGGTCTTGAGTCAACCTTCTTCCTCGTTCGGCCTCTGACGAGCTACCGCACCCAAACACAATGGGGAACACTGCCGCCTGAGGCCCCGCGGTGGCGGCCGGAGCGACAGCATCGGCGGTGGCTCCAGCGGCGACGGCGGTGACCTCCGGTAGCAGTGTTCCCCCCGCGGCGGCGGCGGGGGGAATGGCCCGAGGCCCCGCGGTGGCGGCCGGAGCGGCAGCATCGGCGGCAGCTCCAGCGGCGACGGCGGCGA